ACATTTTTATTTTATGTTTATCATTTAATATTTTTCTTTTTTGCCTGCTTTTTGCCTGTTCAGTCCTTTATTTCACACCTGGAAAAGATTCAAAGACACAAAGTTAATTTATACCTAAAGAGATGATCAGTGGCAGAATTTAGAAAACCAGGAAGAGAGATAAGGTCAGGCTTGATCTTGTGTGATCAGTGCATCTTGGCTTTATCGATTTAACAAAGGCCAAACCTGGCTCAGAAGATGCCACTATTCCAAACCATGTATTTAATCTGGATAATTCCTTGTCCTTGCCTTTTTTTCAATAGTCCATGGGAGAAATCATCAAATTGTAAAGATCTATAATAATAGGTAAAGTCTAATTGACAAGGGAAACAAATAAGATAACCATTCTATCCTGCTGAATCTGCTGTCTCAAATATTTCTGAGATATTTTGGTGTTGATTATTTGAGAAAACTTTGACCAGCTGTGAAGGAGCCTAGCAGATACATAGCTCTTGAACCAAAAACAATGTTTCTGCTTGAATCTGGACTGTGTTATATAGGCCTGTTTCAATAAGCTTCATCTAATCAGAACTTATGGCCCTTACTTTCTAAAACAGAGTGAAGCTGTGGTGTCATGCTGGCCCCATGTACTTCTTTACTATATTCTACTGGATGGATTCTTTGCTGGTCTGGGCCTGGGGGCCAGCAGACAAAATCAGAACCCGTTCCAGCAGGTCTAATCTTTAACTTCTGTGATGCATTATGTAACACCATTTAAAGTAAACATGCATTAAGAAGATTCTGCTGTGGTGCTGCAAGAAAACCGCTCTAAACCTTTCTGTGCGCTGGACACTGAAAGAATTATTAACCAGGGGTGTGTTCCTTAAATCACTGCTGTTTCCTGCTTTTTCCATACACCGTTTGTCCCTTGGACTACAACTTAAATAGTAGACCTTGATTTATGGTCATTGCTAGGTATTTAACTACACCAGTCTGACAAATGAGTTCAAATGAAGTCAAAAGCCATAGAGTATGTCAGAAAAATATATAACTAAGACTTGTTCTCCTCCACCCAGCCCCCATGCAGTGCTGAGCCTTAAGCCTACTGCTTGCAGCTGACATCCCTCTCTAATCTGTAGCATCAGACAGACAGGTAACATATCATTGTTTAGACACAAACACATAACCTACTCATTTAGTACCACTGATTTCAGAGCCATGTCCAGCTGTTAACTGATGTTTTTCAGGTTCCCTTTTATCAGATACAGTTGCAGGCAAATGGACAGAGAGATATAAGCCAAGAAACAAGTAAAACACAGGTTCACCTGTTCTATTCGACACTTTGCAATACTTTGCATTTATTTAAAAGAAAACTGATTAAAAAAAGAAATACACTCACCGGCCACTTTATAAGGTACACCTGTCCAACTGCTCGTTAACACTTAATTTCTAAGCAGCCAATCACATGGCGGCAACTCAGTGCATCTAGGCATGTAGACATGGTCAAGACAATCTCCTGCAGCTCAAACCGAGCATCAGTATGGGGAAGAAAGGTGATTTGAGTGACTTTGAACGTGGCATGATTGTTGGTGCCAGAAGGGCTGATCTGAGTATTTCAGAAACTGCTGATCACGCACAACCATCTCTAGGGTTTACAGAGAATGGTCCGAAAAAGAAAAAACATCCAGTGAGCGGCAGTTCTGTAGGCGGGAATGCCTTGTTGATGCCAGAGGTCAGAGGAGAATGGCCAGACTGGTTCGAGCTGATAGAAGGGCAACAGTGACTCAAATAACCACCCGTTACAACCAAGGTGGGCAGAAGAGCATCTCTGAACGCACAGTACGTCGAACTTTGAGGCAGATGGGCTACAGCAGCAGAAGACCACACCGGGTGCCACTCCTTTCAGCTAAGAACAGGAAACTGAGGCTACAATTTGCACAAGCTCATCGAAATTGGACAATAGAAGATTGGAAAAACGTTGCCTGGTCTGATGAGTCTCGATTTCTGCTGCGACATTCGGATGGTAGGGTCAGAATTTGGCGTCTACAACAAGAAAGCATGGATCCATCCTGCCTTGTATCAACGGTTCAGGCTGGTGGTGGTGGTGTCATGGTGTGGGGGATATTTTCTTGGCACTCTTTGGGCCCCTTGGTACCAATTGAGCATCGTTGCAACGCCACAGCCCACCTGAGTATTGTTGCTGACCATGTCCATCCCTTATGACCACAATGTACCCAACTTCTGATGGCTACTTTCAGCAGGATAATGCACCATGTCATAAAGCTGGAATCATCTCAGACTGGTTTCTTGAACATGACAATGAGTTCACTGTACTCAAATGGCCTCCACAGTCACCAGATCTCAATCCAATAGAGCATCTTTGGGTTGTGGTGGAACGGGAGATTCGCATCATGGATGTGCAGCCGACAAATCTGCGGCAACTGTGTGATGCCATCATGTCAATATGGACCAAACTCCCTGAGGAATGCTTCCAGCACCTTGTTGAATCTATGCCACGGATAATTGAGGCAGTTCTGAAGGCAAAAGGGGGTCCAACCCGTTACTAACCTGGGGTACCTAATAAAGTGGCCGGTGAGTGTATGTCAAAAGTTATAAACGAACCAGGGCCATCAAGTGGTAGAACTGTGACACTGCAGGACATTTTCATATGAAATAATAAATATTAACATTTTCATCGCAAAGGTTTGCCAACAAACACTGACTCAAGGATTTAATGAAAATAACGATACAGTAACAGAACAGATACACAAAGAAAGCACCCAGTGACAAACAAGAGACAGTCAAGGGCTTAAATAACATTGAGAATAGGTGCAAACAAAAGACCAACTAAGGAGACACAGTTAATATCTAATGGCTCTGGCTGAGGGAAATAATTAACAGGGACTTCTGGGAGAAAACACATAGAAGAAGCTAGCAGAACCTATCTAATAATACAGAATTAAAAACAGATAGAAAACAATGCATGATTTAAAGGCAACACTAAAAGATACAGGTGAAAAAAAAAAAAAAAAAAAAAAAACAGCTGGCATTTTGGAACCATAAGTAAATGAAGCAAACCCCAAATGGAAAAATAGCAGAACCTTCCCTCCAGTGTAACCTAGGTTTCATCGACCACATTTAAGTGGTTTCTAAGACATCCCTCTTTCACATGAATTACATAAAATAAGAGAGATTCTGTATTGAGTGGTAAAATGTAGAGAAAAAAGCTCCTCAGATTACAACAGTAAAGAGACTCTTCAATATTTTACTGAATTAGAAACACAAAGTGACAGAAAAGCAATGGTTGTCAAAAAATACATGTTTTTTTATTTTTCTTACATTGATTCATTAATACAAAAAATGAGGTTGGTCTGCTGATGGGAAAGTGCAGCAAAGTGATTTTTCATTACCGAACTGAATTTGAAAACATTAGTAATCAAAGCACAATGATTACAATAAATAACCAAAAATGACACATGAAGTAGATCAATTTCTAACACAGTTTAATTTCTAACACTGTTTTCTTAGTGCAAAGAAAGGTCCAGCAGCTCATGGGACTGAGCAGTGAGTTAACTCCCCACAAATAAGGTCAATTTGAATTGCTAGGATAAAAAACTGTCATGTTTATTCAAAAACATATGTTTTGACTTAACATTTTGTATGAGCAAGGCAAAGTTCATGAATAGCTAACATAATGATTTTTGAAATAAATTAAATTAATAAAAAAAAATACAAGGGATAAATGATGAAAGCGTTTGTTTAACTGGGTATTAATTCAGGTATTTAGGGTTAATTTAACTTTTAGAAGTGACTACGTCGAAGGTGGGGCACATTATTTAGTTATCACGATCCTCTTCTGCAAACCTGCTCCCAGTTATTGTCTCTCTTAAGACTAACATTAAAGCTCTCCTTCTGTTAAAGCTTTCAGTTTGAACGTCTGAGGTTACCCTGATATATCTCACTTAGCCTGCTATTTGTGGACACACTGAGCATTTCTTTATTGTCTAATTTCTTAAGATACACAAAATTACTAAAGCCATTAGTTTCATTTTATCACATGAGCATAACATAAAACTTTAACCTTTGGCCCTGAGTAAGCAGTGACAGGAAAAGGACTGCCAAAGATCAAATGAGTCAGAGAGGAAAAAATGTTTCTGCTTGTTCACTTTCTCAATCATGTGAGGACATCTCTACTTTGTTTAATCACTTCCTTTTAAGGGCTGTTAAAAAGTATCTGATGCCCTGTTGCCACCATTTTCTCAGAATACTTGGCTTTTAAATACCTAATTTTGACTCTGCATTTGACAACCAATGCAAGTGTCTTCATATAATTATTCATCCATCCATCCATCCATCCATCCATCCATCCATCCATCCATCCATCCATCCATCCATCATCAAAAATTGCAACAATGTGAAAGAAAACAAATACATACGGCTTGATGCTAACATGTTTGTTAGCTGTCAGAATTCTGAGATTAAAAATCAGAATTCTGCAATTAAAGTCAGAAGAATTCTGAAATTATTATTAGATTAAAGTTGGAATTCTGAGAAAAAAAGTCTAAATTCTGAGATTAAAGTCAGAATTCTGACTTTTTCACTACTGAAATAATATTTAAAATGAACTTTTTTATTATTTTTTTCAGTGGCCCTAATCCTCTTCTGTACAAGAAAGATGACGTGTGTTGGGAATGATTACTATATAAACAATCCAACTGCAAACAAGTTTAAATTACGAAATCTAACTTCAAATGTATCTTTGGAATATTACCATAATCTTTCACTTTGATCAGTGATTTTGCACAATGTTTATCTATGAAAAAATATGTTGTCCAGTAGCTCTACAGAGAGTTGAGGCAGTGCAGTGTTTTTTTTTTTATGAATTACAGTTAAACAGTTATGCAAAGGTTTCCAGAAGGGAAGTATCGATGATGATAGAAAGCACCAATGAAAGCCAGGCAGCCTCACCTGGGCCAGCTGCGACAGGAACACCTGGATCCGGTTACTGAGGCGCACCAGAGGCCAGCAGAGGGGGTTGGACTCTGCGCCTAAACAACTCCAGTCTGTGCGCAGCAATGACTGCATGTCTGGAGCCTCTACAGCGAGGAACGGTTAAAGGCTGAACGAGCCTATTTCAGGAAGACGCGAAGCTTTGGACGGAGCTCAGATTTCCTCAGAGACTGGAACAAAAGAAAAGGAGCGTTTCTTTCTGGAGCTTTAAGGTAGGAACGCATTTCACTTTCTTACGCAGCGAATGAAAACCACACACATCTGCGCAAACAATACTTAAATAAGGAAACATGATCTCTATTTAATCGATTGGGTCTTTTATGTAGTTCTCTTTTCAGCATAACTGTTTGGTGTTTCTTATATAATCTTTTTAGTTCTTAATGGTTTTCTCACTCTTTGTGAGGGATCTTGTTCGTTAGGAGGAGCTTGATCCTTCATGGGAATCGGATTTTACAAACACAGGCAACTATTTCTCAGTTTTAAACCAAAAAAAAAAAAAAAATTAATACAGGCCCAGACAGAAATAATGAGACTCGCAGCCCTGGAGCAGCTACTGATTTATGCATCCCCCCCCCCCCCCCCTTTTTTTTTTTAGATAAATTTTTTTGTGTGTGTGTTTCTGTATTTTTTTTCTTTTTATTTTTTTTATTTTTTTTTTTTACTTTTGCAGTTTCTAATGTTGCTTTTATGTGTGTTATTTATTTTATTTTTTTGGTCTGCTTGAAATCCCCTAAACATTCCTGTCAGAGCAGGATTTAAATGGAAGTTTTCCAACATCTTCCTTTGAAATCGCCTCGTTGCCAAGAACCAGCTGGGCTGCATTGTGAAGCACTTGTTGCAACCTGCTGGTAAACAAATCACATAAAAAAAAAACAGCCGCTATCACAACCATTGCCATTAAGTTCATGCATGTGCAAACATGCACGCTGGCAGATATTGGCGTTTTCTTGGAATTAAAAGGGCAACGCTTTTCCTACCGCAGCTTGTGCATGACACACTGCAAGCGGCATACATGGCAGATTGACTCATAACGATGTCATTATGTTGTTGAGAGCTGCGAGATTCCTCCAGAGTCACATGCTGTTCTTAACAGACCCAAGAGGTGAGATGGGAAAAGTGGCAAACAATGTGACCTGTCAGAGGAGCCAACATAGAGGAGCCATGAACGTTTTGACATCATACCAAACAACTAAATCACTTCCATAGTTTATGTTTGCTTGTGTTTATAGATTTCGTTTTTTTTATTCATAGCTTGAGAGGATCACTCCACCTCTATTGTTTGAAAGCTTTTGAAATCAGGTTTGTAGTCATGAATATGATCTGTGTGAGAATTTCTACCGCTAAGTAGGTCGAGTTATTAAAGGTATAAAAAGGAATTTGGGTGGAGATCTTTTGTGTGCTTCTGAGGAGCTGGTGAGGTGGACATACTTGTCTGAAAGAAGGATTAATTCTTAAGAAACGTTAATTGTTTGCTTGTAATTTTATCAGTAATACTCTAATTTTAGCCCATAAAGGAATATTTTTATACCCTCACATAAAGCAGAGGTAATTCATACCACTTTGATTTCAGCTACAAACCTCCAGTTTATTTTGTTTGATTTTTATTTGAAAGTCCAACAAAATGTTGTGCATGTTTGTGAAGAGGGAGGAAAACATGTGGCGTTATTTACCACTCTTTACTCGAATAAGTAAAGACGCAATTTAGTGCAACTAATTTCCATAAGCAGTCTCTTAAATTGTTGATGGTGTCAAGCTGGTATATTTGATACCTGTAAAAAGACAGCAGACTTTTCAGAGAAAGCGACCGTTCAAACATATCCCGTCCACTCCACAAATTCATGGAAAGTTTCAACAAGAGAGGAGGGATGATGGTTTATGTACTCACTGATGTACTCTTGCAAATAAAAGAGAGAAGATGCGCACAAAACCTGTCGCTCAGATTCAAACCCAGGGCTTTCTTTCTGCAAGGCAGCAGAGCTAATAACTGCTCCACTGAGCAAGCTAATGCAAACATTTACTTGTTCCTGTCAAAGTAATAGCTTATACCCAATTAAGAGTCTGTGGCAGTGCTTAAATACTGATGTGTTGAGAAATATCAGCTGTGCTGCTGCCATCAGCGGCTTTTTTTTTATAGATGCTGGAGATCTGCCTGTTTCTGTGACTAACTGGATGTGCTCTATTTCATCCTCTGACATGGAAACTGGCTTGGAGCTCGTCTGTCTGGCTGGGTGTTTCCTGATCTGATATGCCTGTGGAATTGGATGATAGTTTCTATGTCTGCTTCTGTCTCCTTGAATCCCAGTCCGCCTCGGCAGATGAACGCTCACCCTAAGCCTGGTTCTGCTGGAGGTTTCTTCCCGTTAAAAGGGAGTTTTTCCTCTCTACTGTCGCTACAAGAATGCCTGGTGTGAGAGATTGCCTTCCAGTCAATGAGTCGGTGCAATCAAATGGTTTTCCTTAGATAGAAAACTTTGAATTAATCTGACTGTATGATCTGTTTGAATTGTGAAATGCCTTGAGATGACTTTTGTGGTGAATTGGTATTATATAGATAAACTGAATTGAATGTCCCACATGTTTTCATCCATTGTGATGAAGGCATTAACTAGCTTGCAAAGCTAGATAGTCAAAATTTCTGTCTCCAGATATGCCAAGTTGATGCGAACACAACACTAAAGGTGTTAATAAAGAGGCTGATTATAGTAATATGCACCAAAATATTAAGATTTTCATTTATTTCTCAAAAACACCACCCTTTTACTTTATGGGTATTCATGTATTTTTGTTGATCGTTCACATAAAAAACAAAGTAGGCATTTAAGTTTTGTTTTAAAATGTGCTAAAATATAAAGCTGTTCAGTCAGTAGGACTACTGCTAGGAAGAACCTTAAGGCTGTGTAAACATTACATCAGATGTTCTCATTCTTGCATTGACCTAACTTGTATTTTATATCCTCTCAGCCTGTGTGAAAGCTGTTCAGATTTAATTACAAACCAAGCATTATGTTATTGCCAGCTAAGTCAAGGACATTTAATCAGGTAGTGTGATTCTTCTAGTTTGTTGCGTTTTAGTGATCCTCTGCAGGTTTAGTGTAGACTGAATACAAAAATGGAAGAAACACAAAGTAAGAATCAGTTTCCTTTCATCCTCCCTTATCTGTTAACATTTCTGCTGTGACAATGGCAGAGAGGTCAGGAGAAAGGCTTTACAGGAGGCACTAAACAGAGAAGCAGGACATTGAGGAAATGAATGAATGCCTGGAGGGGAAATAAGGTTTCACATGAAGGTGGGTTCAGGAATTTTTGGATTAGGAAGAGAATAGGAAAGATAAGGTACTACGTGCAAAGTTGTCACACACACCCTTACAGTAATTAATTTTTCATATTTTTATATATTTATTTTTGCTCTCCAGAGTTTTCCTTATACATTGAAAAAGTATTTTTATACAAATGCAAAAGTTCCAAGGTTTTTCACATAGGTTTTTTCCGAGTCAGAACTAATCTATGTTTTCATCTTGTGGTTTTCCTCTTGGCTTCCCCACTCATTTGTCATGAGTTAAACCTATAAAACCAAACGATATTGAAATTTAATTACAGAAAAGGAACAGGGAAGAAAGCCCATTATGAGGTTTTCATTTCCAGACATTGAAATTCTGTGGCAGTCCAAAATTAAAAGACTTCATTGCAGGACTGGTGGCTCTGAATGATATGTTCAGACTTCCCTGTGTGTGTCGTTATGAATCCCTAGCAGGAACTGAAAAACAAGCTGTTCTTTTTGTTTTGCTTTAATCAGACATAATAACATGTTGCACAATGGTACAACACAGATTCCCAAGAATTAGAATAGAACGGATAGGGAGCAAGGTGTCGTGTCATCATAACCCCAAAATACCAGTGGAGGCAACCCATGATGTGACAGAAGATGGTTCAGAAACAAATGTCTTACATATATTTCTGTGAGTTTAGACTTAATTTGAACGCATACAGAAGCTGAACATGCTTTAGTAGATTTACAGAAAGGTAAAGTGGTGTTTTAGTGCAGACTAGCTGTGTTCAAGTAATACAAACGGCGACTGTTTAGCAAGCAGGGGAAAGGTTCAGTGAATGATTTGCAGGGAGGCGTTTAACGCTGACCTTTGTTTGTCAGTGAGAGTCTTACTGCATGAGCTGTCCCTGAAAGAGATAACAGTTGGAGGCTGGATTTTAGGAAAGTGCCTCATAGGGAGGAGAGATGTGGAATGTTAGTCTGCAAACAAGCCTGACGGAGGCATGGTGAGTCCTTCCCACACTCCAAAAATGTGGGTGTAGCTTCCACACACAGTGAACTGCTGTTTATAGCTGGTTTTCTAGTAGACTCTTTATCGTTGTTGTTGTTGTTGTTTTTCTTTTCTGTTCGTTTTTAATCCTGCAAAACTACAAGTCTTCATCTAACAGCTATTGTTTGCGCCAAACTATTGATTTAAATGACATGTGCAAATGTTTGGTGTTTTCTGCGGTATTTTTAGATTAAACACAACCTATGGGAACAAACAAGGTCTCCACAAACAAGGTACCCCTCTAAATTTGATGCCACTACCAAAATCCCTTTATAATAGATATTCTGTTGTGACATTAATTCAATAAAAGGTCAAATATCTCATCTCTTCCTTTTTTGTTGGGAAAATTTCCCTCTCGCCATGCAAGAGACTCAGACCTACCACAACGTTTGCCTAAATGATTAAAACAGGATGCATACTATAATTCATTGGAAGCACTTTTTACAATACTTTATAAAGTTGCTAAGGTCTTTAGTTATCTTTAAATAATGACTTGACTGGGACTATAAATACTACATGACGCAGAAGCACATCTCTCTTAAGTTACTCCTCAATAAAGAAAAGATGGGAAAACATTCCGTTTAATGAAGGTGTTGATCATACAGGAGTGCCAATAATCGTGCAGAGCTTAGCAAAACACTGGCTGATCCTTTTTATAGTGTTTTAATGCCTGAATTATTCATAGATCAGGCTGAGCTCAGCGTTTTGTCATGGGGTGAGTAAGGGTAGGATATGTCCTGTGAACTCATTGTCATGTTATAGAAACCATTTTGAAATAATCAAAGCTTTGTGACAGAGTATTATCTTAGTTGGAGTGGCCTTTAGAAGATGGCTGCACTGTAGTCTGAAAGGGATGGGCACGATGCTGGGCAACAGCAGTCAAGTAGGCTGTGGCATTTAGATAATGCTTGGTTGGCATTAAGAGGCCCAGCATGTGAGAAGAAAATACCCCTCGCTACCAGCCTGAACAGGAGGTAGGGTGGATATTTGACAGGGTTCCTCTTTTCTGGTCCTCAAGGTCCGGTCTCCTGCACCTTTTTAGGTGTATCTTTGCTTCCACACTCCTGGATTACCTCCCCAGAGTGTAGTCAAGTTCTCTTAAGTCCTGCTAATGACTCGAAACGTCTAAAAGGTGCATCAAGAAAATGAACTGAGCAACCTTGATCTATGTCCTTGTGTTGTCTGCACCAAGTTTTGGCCCATCTGTTTAAACTTTGCAACTGAAATCAAAGGTTCCACAAATCAACCTCGTCATTATTTTTCTTTTTTATCCGTTTGCTTTTGGTAATCTTCCAAATTGCAGTCTCATCTTACTGTTGTTGGCAGAAAGGAGTGTGCCTAGCCCATCTTTTTAAAGGTTCGACATGGTGCTCATCCCCAACGGTGGTGTTTTACATATCTAAGTCATAATGAAGGGTTATTAGAGGCAAAGCTGCCCTGTCTATGATCTTTAAACAATCTCCCTGTTGTCTTTTGTTCTCCTACCTCAATAGAGCATTTTCACCAAAGACGTAATATGTTTGAGCTTGAAAATCCCTCTGGAATACTAAAACCATACACATTGACATCTCTTAAATGTTCTTTTTTTAGCTTTCTTATGCCATGTTTGAACATTAGCCATGCATCTAAATGAAATGGAATTGCTGTCATATGATTGTTGATTTGGTATGTTTTAGTAAACAATTAGTAAGAGTGTCTCATAAAGTCGTAGAAAAGACTCGGTGCTGTAAGCCATCATGATATTGTTCTAATATGAATATGTAAAACTGCATATTCATGCCTCTCATTTTTTCTATATAGAACAAAATATGTTTGTTATCCACATAAATAATTTATGTACGTAGATAAATACCAATAGTGTTTTTTCCTCCATGCCAGTCTAGACAGACTCACATGCTTGCATCAGATTAGAGCATCTGTGATATTTAGTTGTCATCTGCACGATGAGCTGCATCCTCCACCTGTCTAGAGCTGACTATTAGACAGCCCAGTAATGCCTGAGGTTTTGCTGCGACATCTGCACCACTGACTAAACTATGAGTCAGGAAGATAAACAGACCAGTGAAACCAGCTACCATCATATTGTCCTGTCTTGTTTTTTTCACTCAAAACTGCAACGTCTACTGTGGGCGTTTGGGTTATATTAGCTTAGAGGCTGCAGGAGGTGACAGATCTGGGAGTGTACAGTAGATAAGAAAGGGAAGGGCTGAACACTGTAATTAAAAGATGAAGCAAGATGAATTGGTATTGTCAATGAAAGAATAAAAGACTAACTGAAAGAAAGTCACTTTAGAGGTGCAAACTGTTATTTTTCCTCTGCAGGAAATTAAAATAGAAGTAAATGCTCAATGACATTTGATGGTTAAAATATGCTTATGCGACTGAGATACGTGACTAAATCATGTGTTGTTGTGTGTTTTTTTTTTTTTTTTTTTTTCAGAAGGAGAGCCGTGCTGCCTCACAGCCATGAGCTCACAGACGAGTTTCGGGAACTTTTTGTGTGAGTTTCTATAAAAACCCTTTAATTTGCCCTTTGGGCTCAGCTGTGTGTTTGTGTACATTGTTGTGATTTCCTGCACTAATTGATTGTTTATTGATCTGGCTCATTTTCAGTCCAGGCCATAGACAATGACCTGAATGCCTCACTTGCAGTAGCAGATGAGCTATCCAAAGAATTTAACTCCATGCTGCAGGAGGCCTCCTCCAACGACAAAAACGCATCGTCTGAATCTAAGGTACAAAAACATCATAGCACAACACTTTTTGCTCAGTTGGAACACCCTGTACTGAGCTCACTCTACCCTCAGGGTTTTTCTTTAGAGGCATTTTTCTGTTTCTCTGTTTCTGAAGCTTATGTTTGCCTTGGGCTACCTGCTCATAATTCTAGATAAACAGGTTTGCATCAAATAAAAAAAGAAAAAAATATATATATATAAAATATATATTTAACCAACAAATGTTTCACAACCTACTGTCATCCACTTTTTGTCAAGACAGTTTATAACTAATTAAAGAATATTGGTGCATAATATCTTGATGTGTTTAGATGTTAGTGCAGTGTTTTCATGTGAACTTTCTTTTACATGTATCCTTATTATGCATCCTATATGTGGTGAAATAGACCAAAAGAAAAATTCAAAAAGAGCCAAAAGAATATGATTCTACCACTTCTGTACTTCTGTGCAGGAAAGACTTAGGCTTCAAAGCTTCCCCCTTCCTCCCTCATGTGTTATTACGGTCATGGTGAGCAAACATCCTTTTAGTTTTATTAGACCAAAAGGCACATCTCCAAAAATTAAAGTCTCTTCCTCAGTATAAATAATGTAACTTCCTTTGTTAAAGTTCCTGTTTTGATACCAGACTTGTTTATTGGTAGATGATGGTATTGTTACTAGCTTCAACCTGCCTTTAGTCAGCTTCTTCACAAGGTATATTGCTTTTTTTCTGTGGCTGATAATCACGTTTCACAATAAAACACATTTATGGGAAAAAGAACTCACCGCCCTATCTGCAGGAGGACTGGTTGTTCACACAAGGCTTATGTTTGTAGTAAATTTTTTGAGCAGGGTGCTCAGTGGCACAGTGGGTAGCACTGCTGCCTTGCAGCAAGAAAGTTCCGTTTCCCAGCCTGGGGTCTCGCTGCATTGAGTTAGCATGTTCTCCCTTTGACCCGGTTCTCTCCAGGTTCTCCGGCTCCCCCCCAACAGTCCAAAAACATTACTGTTAGGTTAATTGGAGTCTCTAAATTTTCTTTAGGTGTGAGTGTGCGTGTGAATGGTTGTTTTTCCTGTTTGTCTTGCCCTGCGATAGACTGGTGACCTGTCCAGGGTGAACCCCGCCTCTCACAAGTAGACAGCTGGAGATAGGCACCAGCAACCCTCGCGACGCCAGCAGGGAGAAAGAGTGACAGAAAAAGCATGGATGGATGTTTGAGCAGATGAACCCGGTACCTTAAGGGAACTGAATCACTGCATCCAGTGCATGAAGCAGATTTATGGAGGTCCACAATTCTCCTCCTGTTATCGTAGCTAAATAATTTTTCTGTGCCATTACACAAGGATGAGAGCAGTGGTAGCCTCAGAATACATTGATGCGTGCGCTTCCAAATACATCAGATGTTGCAAACTAACCTCTCAGAATCTTACAAAAACCATGACCTCATCATCTGGGCTTTCCAGATACTAATACTAATTCTTTAAAGAAACGTAAGAATTGTTTTTAAGGCAAATACTGGTTATTTTGACAACAGTCTATGGAAATTTAAATGGAAATTTTCTTGGAGCTGATTATGCTTTTTCTTCATGTATACAATAGAAATGACAAAAAGATATGAAATGTTCCAAAATTATAATTTTAAACATAAAAGAAATATTAACAAAGGAGGGGCAATCCATTCGCCACACATGATTTCAAGGCATGTCTTAAATAAAAATTAATATTCGCTGGCTGATTTATCAGTCTATTTAATAATAAAAAAAGAATGTCACCAACCCTGATTGGGACATTTTTTTATTTATAGTTAATATATTTTTGGTAAATTGATATCAGACCGCTTTCTTTTTCTTTAGACCAAGTCCATACACTCCAGAGGCAAACCTCAGTCATACGAGCCGTCCAGCACACCCTCCCCCACATATTCATCTATTAGCAGCAATGGCTCCTCCAGCTCCAAACCCTTCTCTCCAGGCTCTTCTCATTATACAAGTGATCTCAGCATCTCCAGCAACAGGAATGCTCCATCACCCCCTGTCATCTCCAACAGCCCCCACTCGTCTCCAAAGATGCACAGGTCGGTAAAACCCACGCATCAGCGATCTGGATCAGATGACTACATGCTTATGACGCACAGCCCCCAACAGTCACCCCACTTGCCCCGGTCCAGATCCCCTTCTGCATTTGATAGTAGACCACATGGCTATAACATTGACATGGAAAGAGCCCAATCGCATAGCCGAACACCCGGGTCTCTGGACCAGTCCTCTCACTTAGCCTCACATCAGATGCCCCAAAACCTGCTGAGTCCGTTTGACAACAACCAGATAAGCCGCAGGTCCCCTCAGCCAGATAGAGGATCAGCTCAAGGGTTTTTGAGATCTCCCTCTCCTCTGTCTTTAAACTCGCAAGGATCCAGCACCTTACCTCGAAATTTTACCCTATTCAATAAAACTGGTAGGTTGATTCTGTTTTTAGAAAGTTTTGTGTGCTTTCTTGTATTTCTTTGCAATATCACCTTTGATCTGTGTTTTGACAGAAGAGTCTCAAATGAGGCAGAAAAGTCCAGGAAAGTGGAACGAAACAGATCTGGATGTGTCATATGACAGGAAACCTCACAACACCTATGACAGTTAGTTGATTCATGCATTTTTGTTTTATTTGCTTTTTAAGGTTTTAATTAGAATTGCTTAATAGCTGGTCTTCTCCTGCGCCAACTTTAACATGCCATTTTTTTCCCCTACAGAGACAGATTGGCTCCGACCGTCTGTTCCAAACAGTAGCTGGCGGGAATCCAACCTTGATGGCCCTCCTTCTGCCTCCAGCCCTAAAAAGGTGGGAGGTTCTAACTACAATGTTCAGAACATCTGGTGAACCCTTCCGTGGAACTCGAACCCTTTTAACACTTCCTGGCTTTCTTGAATGTAATTCAAAAAGCTTTAGATGTAGCTTTAGTATACAAATAGGAACTGCTCCTAAATGTTCTTTGCACTCTGTGCAGAGGTGGTTTAATGCCAGATGGCAATGAAATGTGCAAGTATGACGCATTTAGTGTTGATTGACTTACTAAGCTAGAGTTGGTGATTTAAACAAACTATAATGCAGCCACCACCATTTCTGTTGTGTATTTTGTGATGTGCTGTTAGATTGTTAAGATCACAGCATTTTGCCTGTAGACCAAAAACTGTAAACATGACTTTTTTTTCCCATGCTTTTTAGCAACAAAACTGTTCCCTTTGCCACCTTTCTGTAACGGCCAAATTTGTGGTGTGTGTGACAAATGGTTATTTCTGGAGCTCTTCCAGTATTTCCATGCGCCTCTGTAATTAATATTCTCCTTGCCAGGCCTGTTATTCTGGGTGGAGATGCGTTTGGAAGTTTGCTGTTGTCCTGTAGTTTTTCTGTAAATGGGTTGAACAGAACTTTGCAAAATGTTCAAAGCCCAAGGTGTTATGTAAAGACCTAATTTGTGTTTTTTATTTATTTATTTTTTTTTTATCTAATTACTAAAATCCAAATTAAGTATTGTGAAAATGATGGAAAAGTTTAAAGCTCTAAACGGCACTATAGTGACTATAGGTACTAAAAATGTCTTTGAAAACACCAGCATTGATTATTTGAAGATGTCTAAGAGTTGGTTGAAAACTTACCGTCACATTTTTATGTGCCTAAGTTATATAAACCAAACTAAAACTACAGAACACATCAGCTATATACTGATTAATAAGTGTAGCTATCTACTACATAATAGCTTAGCCTAATTACCTAGACTAAAAATCTGATAATTAACCTAATTACAGTTGGGTAAAAATCTGATAATGTTTAAAAGCCTGACTGCTTTTCATATGCATATTTGCAAACCCTCTGGTCTAGAAGTAACAAGTGTTTCTTTTATTTTCTCTTTACTGCTTTACAGGATCATCGCTCTGTTGCCCAGCAGGGTTCCTACAGTTCTTTGCCTCGCACTGCTCGCATATCAGTTCCACCTGAAGCTCCGTCCTCAGGAAACTCCCCTTACAGCTTACAGCCCATCATTTCCCGTGTCAATATGCCCCCACAACACATCCAGCATCGCCAAAAAAGGCGTATACCAATCTCTGTCATCTTACGTCTCCAAAATCCTGAGTATGGGCAAATGTCAGCTCTCCAAAATCAAAGCCGGGAAGGACAAGGAGACATAGCACCTTACCGCCCACCTGATCCAGCTCATAGGAAAATGTTCCATCCAAACTTTCCATCTAACCATTACCATTCACAGCATTATCCACCTGAACTGAAACAGCCAGCTGTTTATAATGATGGTAAAATATGTTAAACACCTGAACATGTTTAGGCTCTGTATGAATTTAGAATTTCATAATCGTAATGATATAAATGTGCTTTTTACTCATTTTTTTTAGCATTACACCCCGGGGATATAGACGCCGAAATAGAGCGCCTGGACTACATGCATCAGAACCCTGCAAATTTGGAGAATTCATCCATGCCAGGGGGTGGAAATGAGATCGAACAGCCTGCTCCTCGGCCCCTGAGCCCCACAAGGCTTCAGCCGGTGGTGGCCCCTGAGGTCCAGAACCCTGAGTTCCCAGATCGGGAGGAACTGCTCCTCATCAGGTCTGAAATTCCCCGGCCACTGAAGAGACGAGGATCTGTGGACGTTTCTAAGGGCCTGAAGAAGGCCTCACATTACCAGCCGAACCAGTACAAAACCATCATCCATAAGATACTTCACAAAAAACAACACCGCCATAAGTCGGGAAAGGGTAGCGACAGCTCCTCTGATGGGGAGGAACCCGCCCTGCCTCCTGTCGCTCCACCCTCAAGTGGTTTCAAGTTGCTTGAACCTCGTGCTGAAGATGAAAAAGTAAGAACCTGGTTTTCAGTATTGCCAAAAGTAAAACACACTTAACTCCATTTACCTTTGGATGAAATCACATGTTCTGTACCATAAAAAAACTGTTTAGTTTTTTTTCACTCAACTCCAGATCATCAATTAAAATTTTATATGAGACAAAGATAAACTGAGTAAATGCAAAATGCAGTTTTCAAAGGATAAATTGATTTAACAAAAAAAAATAATAATAATTTATATACCGGTAAATAGAATATAAAAATATATTCCATTTTTCCTTCAGTACAATTCCATTCTGCGGAAACCTGGTCGGAAAAAATCAGGAAGACGAGCTCGGCTCCACCCGCTGGTCCTGCTGCTGGATGCAGCGCTGATGGGGGAACTGGACACAGTGATTCGAGCCGTGAAAGAGGTAATTATGTGACGTTATAATGTTGTGCTTAAATAAAATTGGTTAACCTAAACCAGAAAAAAGTTCCAGTGCTCTGCAAAATAAAACACAGACTTGAATCTTTTTGATTTTTATTTATTGATAGACAGATTTGGAGGTAAAACCAAACCATTGTTACTAACAATTCATGTCTTGATATTAGGCTTAATTTGATAAAGCGTCATGAAGAGTTTAAACTCTGTGAGGCAGAAAATCTGGTTCAAAAACTGCTCCCAAACACTTATCATTCAAAATAAAGTTTGATAGATTTCAACATTTTTCCTCTTAGAACTTAGCAACTCAATCCAAACCGATTAAAAACTTGATCAATGATGATGATGATTTAAAAAGTAAAGTTGGACTATGTGTAAATTCAGTGTGAAAATGGGCTTATGCAATGAACCACATGAATAGATAACTGGCCAAGGATTATTCTAAAAGCTTTCTGTAATTCTAAATCAACCAAATATGATGGTTTGTATGAGTCAGTGGTGTTCAGTATCACCACTGTCTGGAATGGTTTTTAGGTGTTTCCCAGGTTTTATATAAGTGTTTGAATGAATGGGTTACTATCAATCATCTGCAGATATAGATAAAATGCTGTCAAAGTATGAATTAAATAATTTCACAACATTTGAATCAGCAGAGACGCATCTAAAGCATGCAGGCCTCCCCCCACCCCATCTCATTTGATTGATGTGCAACGAAAAAACAATGGGAATTAAACCAATGTACCCAATCAAATAGTAGCGCAATTTAGATCTGTAATTAACATTAATTTATGTGTTTAGATTGGAGGTGAAAACCAGTCCTTCTTAAAAAAAAAACAAACAAATAAGATAAACATGCGGAAAGGAGCACTTAAACCCTGAGAGAGAGGCCCAGACATGCCTCTGCAGTGCTGAACTGGATTCAAAATGATTTGCATAAATCCAAAATACTGTTGTGATGTTGCTAACCGCGATAAGATCAGCTCAGATATGCCAGTGTATTGTTTAGTTCTAATGAAAACACTTTATTCACATTTGAGAATCAAAGCATTAATCTTGTGTATTCATAATAGCTGCAATGCCTGGTAGCATTCAGTCCCACACAAAAGCAGTCCCCAGGAGTATTTATTAGGAGTGAGATAAATCGAGCTGTTTTAAACTTTCACTGACTGATTGAAGTGTTGATTGAGGTGTTCTGGAATCCAGCTCTGGATTTGGACTCAAAGAAAAGTGCACGGATGTGACTTGCATAAAGTTATGCTAGGTATGCTCCCCAACCCCCTCCACGTTTCCTCTTGTTCACCCGAAGGACCAAAATATCAGCTTTAACCTTTATATAAGGGTCTATTATAGACATGCTAACATTTACCTTTGCTGTAGAGGGAGTAACTTTTTCAGTTTACAAGCTTTAAATGTAAAATCTTGTGTGGGTGTAAAGTAAGTTGAACTTTTTATTGAATCTCTTCCCTAGATTGGAGACCCCAGCCAGTCCAACGACGAAGGCATCACCGGCCTGCATAACGCCATCTGCGGGGGACATCACGAGGTGGCAGACTTCTTGGTTCGCACTGGCGTAAATGTCAGCGCACCAGACAGCCATGGCTGGTAAATGCCCACTCACGTTCTCGCCAGCGTCCTCCTCCATATTTCTCATGGTGTTTGCTCTTCTGAACATTGTGTGCCTTTTTTTTTTGGCTTGCAGGACTCCGCTACACTGCGCAGCCTCTTGTAACGACCGTGATATGTGCGAGTTTTTAGTGAGAAATGGAGCTGCTGTCATGGCCTTCACCCACAGAGACGGTGCAACCGCCTCCCAGAAGTGCGATCCCTTCCTTTTTGGATATGATGAGTGTGAGAGTTATCTAAAAGGTGAGGAGAATGTTGCCAGATGTTCAGCAGTGATTGCACACTCTTTATTAAAAAGCCCCCAAGCAATGTCAGAAAAATCTACTGTGCTCTTTCAATGTCAATTACATACTTCAACCTCAGTTTACCTTTTAGAGCTCTTTAAAAAAGAGATATACATTATTATATACATATACATTAGAAATATTTAATGTTGAAATGAGTCCAATGGAGTGATGAACAAACAATAAAACCTTTAAAACTCTTTTTCCTTACGATTGTATTTACCGTATACCTGTTAAATTACCATGCTTTATATGACTGCACAAACAAAGTTCAGTGTGTTTTGCTGTAATATTATTTAGTGTACCAGCACACAATGTTGAATAATTTCCAGGAGGGAGGAATATATGGTTTATGAAATGTGTTTAAAAAGCAAGTTTGGTCAATAAAACATCTCACAGATGATTGATTCAGTAAATCCCTACCCAACAGTGAAACATGGTGGTGGCAGCATCATCCTCTGGAGATTCTTTCTTTCAGCAGAGAAAGTGATGCAACTAGGAATCAATGGGAAGATAGAATACACCTCGGATTCTTACATTAAAATCCTTACCACTGGAAACAATAAGCATTTATAATTAAGTGCTTGAAGATATGAAATTATCACTTAAAAATGAACAAAACCAAATACTCTGGTTGTTGTTGCATTTTTCTGTATATTATTCCATCAATGGTTAACTGATGTGTATAGTGTTTATATTTTCAATGCTTTTACAAATCTTTGTGGGTCAGAAACCAAAATGATGGGCAACTTCTGAGTTAAACTCAATGAACAACAATCATGGAAAAAAACTATTCAAGGCTGAAATTTTTTTTTAACTTTGGATGGACAATGACCTTTCAACTAACCTAACACAACCAGTGCTACATGGGACTGGTCTAGATTGAACTAAAGAACCAAACGGACTTCAACCTTCTCTAGTTTGAAATGATGCATCTTTCAACAATTTCTGTCCACCAGTTGTCTTTGCAGACCCACTCGCATCAATGATGGTTAGAAATGATGTTTAAGATATTTGCAGAAAAAACCCAACTTGAAATACTTTAAGAAAAAAAAAACTCTCTAGAATAGTGTTTTTTGTCTTATCCTTATCAAATTTGATGTTGTAGCAGGTAAGACCTGTATTTATAACATCATTTGAATCTCAAGTTGATATTCAGGAAAGAGGAAATGGTCTATTTTTTTTGTTTTGTTTTTTTAGGAAATTGTGTCACGTGTTGATGTGACCTAGGGAGAGATCAACATAAATGAATGTGTAAATTCAGGCTGTTTGCTATAGAGACATCGCCCAATGAAAATGATCTTTTAAAAGTATTGACTCAGGCCTACTAAATGCAAACTTTGAGGTTTGCAGTTATAAAACAACTGGCAGGCCATGTATCTATTGCCTTCCATTTTATGCACCACTTTGTCTTTGTGTATTATATACACTTAAAGGCATAGTGGATGATGTTCTTTTTCTGGGTGAATCATCAAAATAAGTGGTCCTATAGAGTCTTTAAAAAAAAAATTGTGAAAATCCTTCACTATACCTTTAAACTAAATCTCTTGTGGTTGCAGTATGACAAAATGTAAAAAAACAAATGTAATTTTACAGTTGTAAAAAGATGAAAATACATTTTGATATAAAATATTTAAGAGTTCCAGTCACAATTTAAAGGCTAAATGAAATGAAATCTTTGAAAGGATTTCTGTGTTTCTTCCTCTTTGCAGCAGGAAATCATTAATATAAAGGAATTTAATTGGCAAAGGGCCATATGGAGGAACCCTAAATTGGACAGGATTCCTTAGATAGTTCCTCAGCAAGAGCTGTTTATCATCTAAATAAACACAATGACAAAGGATAACTCTGGGAAATATTTGTTACAACTACAGTATGGAGCTAATTTCTGAATGCGTGCACCATGGAAAGGAGGATGTACAACTGGAAGCTGTGAGCTCCTAATTAAAGAGGAATTTAGTCAGCAGAAAGTGCAAGTCAGGCTTTGTGATTTTCTATAGATATGCGCTCTAGACTTCAAAGGATTCTGATGGACATGACTGCAATTTTGCTGTGTAAACATTAAAGAAAGTAGGACAAAAAAAGGACAAATTATTAGAAGATATTTGCACGAGGAATAAGAACAAAGAAGTATCTGAATCTTACAAATGCTCTGTGATGTTAAATTACAATTAAACAGTCAAATTAAAGGTACACTATGCAAACGGTGTTGATTTTCCAGTGAGGCTCCCTCCAGAGGGCGAAAGTAAAAGTGCACTGTCGTAAATATGCACAGCTGTTCTCCTGGTTTCTCCGTCAAGCCAGGCGCGGTTGTTTTGAGCTTAGCAGCGAATGACTAACGCTGCGTTCACACTGGACGTAGCTGGCGCGACAGAAGCAGCGAGTTTACATGCAAAGTCAATGGTTGACGCGCGTCAAGGCGCAACAAAAGGTCCAGCGGCGCGTTTTGAGCACCAGGCGCAGCACGTCTGAGCAGCTGAAGCAGCGCGTCGGGTGCGTTTAACGCAGGGAGAGAGACACAGCGCTGATGATCTCTCCTCTTAAACAGTTTATTGACGCCTAAATTAACTTAAAATGTAGAAATCTGCCGGCAGAATATGCAGTTTGGATTATTTAGATGAAAAACACCTACCAGCTGCCGCGGTGAACCGCTGCTGATGAAGGGATCCATACTGTTGGCGCCCCGCTGGTATGTGGGGGTCTGAGCGGCTCCGACAGAAAAAATATTTAAGGCAGGATAATAATCTGAATGAACTGACTGCACTGATTACGTTTTCAGGTGTATTTTCTCACTTAAACACATATTAAAACTACTTTATTCCCACTGGTCACAGCAAATATAGCTGCAAGGCAGAGAAAGGATAGTGAAGCTCCGCCCAACGCGCCTCAGACACAGCCAGAGCAGCAAAGCTGCTTCAGCCACGAGTCAGAACTAACTGGTACAAGCAGCAAAAAGGAAGCAGCAGACGCGATTTTGCTGCTTTTGCTGCGTGAACGTAGCATAACTGCACAAAGATCGCCACTGTGCTAGCAACGAGAATGCTTTTAACTGGGGGCGTGTAGCAGTTCTCGCCGTAAAGCAAGACTGACTCTCACGAGACTTCTGAGCCTGTGGGTGCGGGTCTATGGGGCCAAAATGGTAGCTTTAATATTTGCAAATGTGTGTGGAGAGTTGTGTGTCTGTATCTCGATTTGTGTGTGTGCAGTGGGATTTGAAAATGTGTAAATAAATCTGTAAATGTGTGAGGAGATTTGTGTGTCTGTACAACAATCTGCAAATGTGTAAAACTACTTGTGTGTAATCCGTTTTGCAAATGTGTAAAAAATCCACAAATCTGTATTCAGATCTGCAAATGTGTACTGAGATTTGCAAATGTGTAAAAAATCCACAAATCTGTATTCAGATCTGCAAATGTGTACTGAGACTTGCAAATGTGTAAAAAATCCACAAATCTGTATTCAGATCTGCAAATGTGTACTGAGACTTGCAAATGTGTAGATCAATCTGTAAGCACACACAGAGACACTTGTGTCTGAAGTATTTTCGCTTCAAGACCCAGAAATACAGACAAATCATTGGTTACAAGTCAAGCGGTTTTTCGGTTGGCTCTCTTTACACACGTGATTTTTGCTACTCTTCTGCCGCGTGAGATGCACAAATGTGTAGAAGGATTTGTATGTGTATTTTCGCGATTTGTAACCCCTTGCGCAGGCTCGCAGGCTCACATGCTGCCCTGACCGCAGGCTCACAGGCTCACAGACAGCCTCTACCTTTTTTTTTCCTCCGCTGCGGGAGTTGACGTGACAAGGATGATATATTGATACCATTCAGTAAGGAAAAAATTTAATCTATTATTAAACAAAAGGTTACGGAAAGATGGCAGAAGCTGTGGGAAGAGCATAGAACTGGAAGTTGGCTTTATAGTATTCAAAGGAAAATTGGTGAAATGAGGAGAACGGAAAGGAATAAAAAAGATGTTATATCTAGATTAAGTTTCGGAAACACGGGGTTAAATGGAAACTTATTTAGAATGGGAACAGGAGGTTGTGGTTTTTGTTATCAAGGGGAGACGGTGGAGCATGTTTTGTTGTTTTGTTATAAATATTCTATGGAGAGAAGGGTTACAAGTAAATAAATTACAGTTAAATATACAAGATATTTTGGGGGGGGGAATCTACTTATGATTATTTTTGTAATTTGATAAACAATCCGGAAAAAACGAAATTGGTAGAAAGGATATAAGTTTATTTATGTAAATATTGTTAATATTTATTTTTATTTTTCAGTGGGAAAATACATAGCATCCCGATCCACACTCCACTGAAGTAGATGGTGGTAATGCACATCATAAAGTTGCTTGCCAACCACCATAAAACAGAAGCAGAAGAAGAAACAGTTTTACTAATGCAAACTATAGGAAAAATTAAAGAAATATACTTACAGAAAGCTGACGGGATTCCATTGCTCTCAACTTAGCAGGTACAACCCCTAGGACCCCAGTAACGTCACGTACTGTACAATACCGCCAACTGGTGGTATGTGGTTGTATGTGAAGCAAGTTGTGCTGAACTGCCGCAGCAGAGAGAGGCTGTCTGTGAGCCTGTGAGCCTGCGGTCAGGGCAGCATGCGAGCCTGCGCAAGGGGTTACAAATCGCGAAAATACACATACAAATCCTTCTACGCATTTGTGCATCTCACGCGGCAGAAGAGTAGCAAAAATCACGTGTGTAAAGAGAGCCAACCGAAAAACCGCTTGACTTGTAACCAATGATTTGTCTGTATTTCTGGGTCTTGAAGCGAAAATACTTCAGACACAAGTGTCTCTGTGTGTGCTTACAGATTGATCTACACATTTGCAAATCTCAGTACACATTTGCTGATCTGAATACAGATTTGTGGATTTTTTACACATTTGCAAATCTCAGTACACATTTGCAGATCTGAATACAGATTTGTGGATTTTTTACACATTTGCAAAACGGATTACACACAAGTAGTTTTACACATTTGCAGATTGTTGTACAGACACACAAATCTCCTCACACATTTACAGATTTATTTACACATTTTCAAATCCCACTGCACACACACAAATCGAGATACAGACACACAACTCTCCACACACATTTGCAAATATTAAAGCTACCATTTTGGCCCCATATGGGTCGGTGCTCCTGCAGTTGCAAGTGCAGTATTTCCCCCACAGACCACCAGGGCGGCCGAGAATACCTTTGTTCACCCCCTGGCATATTTATTTGTTTGTTTGATTGTTTGTTTATATATTGTTCTGTGACTTTAAGTGAAAAAAAAAACAACAAAAAAAAAAAAACCTTTGTTCAACCTGAAATGACTCATTTAATCATCCAAAACGTTATGGAACACATTAATTAACTGAAAAATGTTGCATAGTGTCCCTTTAAACAAATTATTTAAAAAACACCAAAATATCTTAACTGTTTTGTTATTTTATGTTTTGTCATATTTGCTTTCCCCAACCAGCCAAGGAGGAGTCCATGGGGGTGGACAACAATGGGGTCCTGTATGCTCTGTTCAGCTACCAGGCTCAAGCACCTGATGAGCTGAGCTTTAAGGAGGGAGACATGGTCACCATCCTGAAGAAGACAGAGGGGTCCGACTGGTGGTGGGCTTCCCTCTGTGGCAGGGAGGGCTTGGTTCCAAACAACTTCTTTGGGGTGAGTTGAATATTAATCAATCATTTATTTAGTTAAATAGGATATTTGTGCTGTCAGTTTTTTTTTTTTTTTGCATAATCAAAGGTGACATTTCAAAGCTACTCTGCAGAGAAGGAGTTATCAAACAGGTATATCTGAGTATAACTGAAAAGTTAATTGTAAGTTTTCATCGTCAACAAGTGAAACTCAATGATTCATAGATTTATTACACAGAATTATTTTAATTATATTATTACTTTCTGAACTCATGTTGAAATTTATATTTTTTAAATAATTTATTTTATTTAGATTGAAGTAGAATCTAGAGTGGAAAAGAAGTGTGTAGAGTTTTAGGAATGACAGCAATTTTGTTTCTCCTGAGTGAAAAGGAACTCGGATCAGAAAAAAATACCTAAATAATTTTACATGAGCCTAAAAAAGTTAAATGTAATCAATTTCTTCTATTTTCAAGCAGAACTAAAAGAAAGGTTTTCTATTTTTCTTGCAGCTTTTCCCAAAGGTTCGCCCCAAATCTATCTGTTAAGAGATCCTCTGAACATCCAGGGTGGTTCCTCCAGGAGTCCTTTCACCTTTACAATAATATTTATCTTCAATGTTAGACATTGCATTAGAACTTCATCTGACGTGCTTTAGAAAGCTCATGGTAAAAATCCAATGAGGACAAATTGTTACTCATGAAACTTGCATGAGGAAATATTTCTGGTGAAGCTTCATCCCTGTTCTTAATGTGACCACTTTGTCAAACTTTCCTAAGGATTCAAATCTGTCACCCTCCCTGTTGTTGACTCACCCTGTGGTTACATGTCACACTTTAACTGTTGATGTTCATTCAGCACTTAGCCCAGCATAGGAATGAACAAATCCACTGCCAGTCAGGTTTACACATGGTTCATCTCACTGCTGGAACAGTTCCCATCCAAGATTTATCAGAAAGTAAAATAAGGGAGTTTCAATTAGAAGTTTTCACATTACTTACCTGTATATAATTCAGATCTAAAAGTTTCAATATTAGACCAGAGTAGAGCTACTCTGTTAACTTTTATGACCACATTAATGACGCTAATGCTGAATGAATGTGACTTTACATAGTATTACAAGAACTCTAGTATATGACAACGTTCTGTCTTGCTTAAGTTTTTGCACAATCTTCTTTTGTTTTGTTTTTTTACATTTGGCTTTAAAAATGAATCATGTTGGGAGAGGAACGTAATGTAATGTAAGTGTTCCGACTTAGAGGATGTCTAATATGAGGGAATGCATATGTTTGTTGGGTGTAATGTTGGCCATTTATTATTTTCCTTCTGTGCTTTGTAATGCTAGTGAAATATTACCAAAAGTTGAATAACAAAACTAACTGTTTAAACATCCAGTGAATGCATGAAATCTCTTTTCAATAAAACCATCTGTTACAGTAACATGTTATCTACTAGTAATGATCCCAGTAATCCTGAAAAATGTATCATTTATTGCCAATATGTCACACAATGATACTCCAAGCTTATTTTGAATCAAATGCTCACAGGAGGAAAGGAATCTCATACTAAAAATAAAATAAAAAGAAAGCTATTTATTGTTGCCATCAATAAAAAAGGTAAATATGTCTCAACGGAATTCCTACAAAGTACTAAATTAATCTATTTAAAACATTTATAATTGGATTTTATATTTTAGCAGTTCATATCGGGTCAAAACTGATACAGTTCAATTAAAATTCAATTGGGAAATGTTTTATCAACCCTGAACGGGAAATAAGATATTATAACTCTACTACAACTTATTGGTAGATGTTAATAGGATCTCCTGTAGCTGTATATCTTGCAGAACTGAAAAGCGTTTAACTGACAGTCATCTGTCCAGGGTGTTCAGGGTTGTCCATGGCATTCTTTATTTTATCAATCCATTTTCTTTTTGAAGTAATCCATATGTGAAAACAGGTTTTAACCAATGAAGGAACTGAGCTAAAACTCAAAGAAAGGATTAAACTCTGAAGTATCAGATTAACAATGGTAGCAATGGCTCTATATTATTGTCCAAATATGAGGAGGCAGGGATCCCACAGCAATCTGATACTTCTAATTTTTTAGGTTGTGCTCGCCTTTATTTTGCATATTCATTTGATTAAACCAATATATATATATATATATATATATATATATATATATATATATATATATATATATATATATATATATATATATATATATATATATATATATATATATATATATAATTGGAATTATATTACAATGGAGGAATTATATTACAAATGCAATAAAATACAATATGGCACTTATTTATAAAGGTATTATCAAAGTATTCAAATCAAGATAACCTATATCTTGACCTCAACAAATACATTTCAAAAGTATCGCAGCAGCCTAATTACGGAAGAGGATTAGGGCCATTGGAAAAAAAAAAAGTTAACTGATGTTTAAATTGTATTTCAATTAGTATGGGAAAAAATTCTGACTGAATTCTGTCAATAAAAAAAAGTCTGAATTCTGAGAAAAAAGACAGAATTCTGAGATTAAAGTCAGAATTGTGAGAAAAAATAGTATTTTTTCCCATACTATACTGAAATAAAATAAAATAAAAATTAGTTAACTTTTTTTTTTCAGTGGCCCTAATCCTCTTCCGTAGCCTAATGGCTGACGGGTCACAGGGTCATAACACTGAAGCAATTTCAAAGCTGCACTTCTCACTTTCGCTCACCAGGTGGCGTTTAGTAGGACTGTGTTGTAAAGCTTTGACTATTTAACCTTTTCATGGTAGCATTGCTACTTGAGAATATTTCATGTAGTTCTCACTTCCAACATAGGGAGAGGAAGCTTTCTTAGATGATCTCCAAAACTGCAGGTCATGTTAAGAGGGTAAAGTGGCCCACCCTATCTGATCCAACATACAAGCTGTTGTGGCTCAAACTGCTGGTTCTGATGGGAAGGGATCAAACCGTGCACCACACCTTGTCAGTTATGGAGCTGTTTTGTCTGAGAGCACATAGACACTGGACACATAGGCATCAGAACTGGACCATGGAGCCACAAAAGAAGGTGAGCAGGTCTAAAGAATTGAGTTTGTTTCTTTATTTGCCACATATGGCCAGGTGCAATGTAGAAAAAGGTTTGCTGTGAAAAACCTTGATTTCTGTCATCTAGGAGGAAGTTAGCTAACTTGTTCCTCTAGCATCAGCATTGATTCCTTAAATCAGAAAACATTTTAGTAGGACAGTAAGAGGTTTTGCTAAAGCCATGTGGTCAGATATGTTTATTAAAACATATAAAGATGGAATTAATGTTATTCTATGATCCTATTTACTCAGCTTCTCTGTAATTGTCTGATTGTATTAAATATTTTCCTCACTTTAATCATCTCTGGTGGTATATCTTTTGTCATTTTATTAGTTTCATGTCTGCCTGTCTTTTTTAACATTTTTCTATAGCAATTAGTATGATAAAGGTTGACACCTTCACATAGAGCAAAAATAGACCAGAAAAGGGCCGAGCTGTAGGTGTTGCCATGCCAAGGCACCTGAATGTGACACACCTCATTTCTTTAGAACTATATTGTGTACTTTTCACAAGTACTTATGAAAGCTGCATGTTTCACTATATGTAACACCTTTCTATCAAAGCAAATTCCTCAGTGTAAAATAATACCATGTTAGCTCATTGAAAAAGCTTTCTTAGATTAGGTGCAATGAGCTCAGAACGTAGGACCCAGAATTCAGGCAAGACAGACAGAAGAATACTTCAAAAGCCTTTATTTTAACAGAAGCGAATCTGCAGCGGACAGGGTGCCCATCACAGGAATATCTATTGTAGAGAAACACAAGCTTGTGACTCGATAATCTGTCGGAGGAGGATTATGAACATGCGAGTCACTAACCTGGTTTGACAGTTAAGTCCTGTGCTCAAAGAACGAGAATGGTTCCAGCTGGTTGAATGAACAGAAGCAGCTGCCGCAGCCAGAGAGTTCCAGATGTGGAAGGCTGCAGAGCTGTCAGGTAGATCAGATCTGAGCAGATGAAGGCAGACAGGATAATCCAAACGGTGAAGTCAAGAGGCAGGTCCAAGTACAATCCACAAAAGAATCCGACAGGAGACCGAAACCAGGCAGGCAAACTAATAAGACAGGGCAGGCAGGCTCAAAGGTCCAAATGCGAATCAGATCAGACATCAGAACACTAAACTAACTATAGAAAACTCTCTACACCAAAGGCTCAAGAATAATCTGGCGCCAATGGCTGGGAGACATGTAGCTTAAATAGGAAACCGGAACAGGTAGATCTGATGTGAGAAGAGGAAAATGGGAGACCTAGACAGGTGAAAGGAATGAGCAATCACGCCCGCCAACAGCTGGATTATGGGAGTCAGAGACTTGCCCTTGTCTGGAGTTAAATTATCTTCTGTGTTGAAGAAAGACTAAATCTAATCCAGGTTCAAAAGAAGGCCTAAGCTATACCACCACCAAGACCAGAGAGGATATCTCAGACAGAATATAACCCGCTGAATGAATTAGACAATACAGATTTCCATGACCGTTTTCGTATGTACAAAATCACTAAAGATGAAATAATTTGTTTGCTCCATTTGTTTGCAAAGCTTTATTCTGACTCAGTAAGAGGAACTTCTCACCCTCCTTCCTAACAAGTTCTTATCACTTTGAGCTTTTTGGCATGTGAAACTTTCCAGTGTAAAACAGCAGATTATTCTGCGGCTCTGCCAAATAGAGTCTGCAGAGCTATGGTAAAAACAGTTTTTTAAACAAACATAGAAGGTGTTTTTACTCCCATTATGCATTTCTCAAACATTGTTGGATGTTGGGCGGCTCAACTCATGACTCAAGGATTTTCCCAAAACTCCTCTGTGTGTGCTCTGTTTGTACATGTATGGCATCTAGAAGAATAATGTCCAATGGCTCAGAAATACATTACATTTCAAACCAAGAAGATGCTGTTTTCTTATAGTGGCAACTGCAGTGGTTCAGTATTACCTCCGACAGCATGGCTGTGTAAAATGTTACAACGATCCACATGTTCCCATGGAGGTATCCCCTTGTCAAACTAGACATTCTTATAAAAACAGTTTTGCTGTGCAGCATTTTCTTTAAAGAAGAAGAAAAGAAGTCGCAAACTGCTCATTACTGAGTAGACTGGTTTAATTGGGATTGTAGTCACAAAATATCAACTGAGGCATTTTGAAAGAAAAACCCAGAAGCATGCTCCTGCTTCATGCATCTCTCCATCTCTGAATTATAACTCCAATTGAAGGATTTTATAATGTTCTTCTTTTAGATGTTGCAGTTTTTACTCTTGAAACCATACAGTTTTTCATGACAAGCCAGCCTTTTTTACTCTTGCTGTGCTGCCAGGGCTGGAGATAATAACTAGCGCTGTTCCATCAGACCAGCATACCCATAGTCAATATGAATGCACAAGACGTCAGATTTGCATTTATCTCTTTAGTCTTGTACAAAAAAACTATTTAGATTTCAGATCGCCATACACTTCACCAAAAAATAAGTAATTAAATAGTGTTTTTGTACGTAATTAAGGGATACACACCCATTGAGGTATTTTAAAGTGTATTTTTTGTACAAAACTAAAAGGATGAGCAGATAATGACAATGGGTATGCTGGTCTGACTGGGTATGCTCATCTGACAGAACACTACCACAAGTACAAAGGTCTGATTTTTCAGACTCTGTTCTAGGTCTAACATCAGACTTAAAGCTCAGGTTGTCTTTTCCTAGAGAGGATATAATTATATCTTTATTTGTTATTCAGAG